TTCCAAACTCATTCTCCAAACATTATTCAATTATGACATCCTATTTTTATCAAAAGCCCCCAAAATTAAATGCAATTCCTTTGTTTTCTTTAAAAATGCTCTTTTAGTCACAAACCGGTAAAAATTTCAAAACCAATCGAATTGAAGTCCGTTTTTGTTCAAATTTAAAACATAACTCTTTCATAACCTTACAAACATATTTCAAGTTTACACTTTCGCAATTTGGGCATTAACTCTTTATTTTTCTCAAAATTTCTCTTTTAAGCAAATAAATCACAAATTTTTCAAAAATTCTAATTAGATTATATGCAACTCTAAACACCATATAATCAAGTAAAAGTGCATAAAGAAGTGTAGGAAAAATCCCTACCTCAAGCTAGAAGAGAATGGAAGAACACCCAAAACTCGACAGTGTAGGAAAAATCCCTACCTCAAGCTAGAAGAGAATGGAAGAACACCCAAAACTCGACAGTACAAAAATGCAATCTAGTATGATCAAAACATTGTCCTTACCGTGCTCTAGCTTTTGGGCTCAAGACCTAGGGTGAATTTGTACTAAAACTAGATGATAACAAGGTTGGAAGGGCTTGGATGCTCTCAAATTGTTATGGTAGTTCTTCCAGCAGCGGCCAACCCCTTTTTCCCAAACCATGCGCCCTAGGTGAAACAAACTCCCCAAGAGCCAAACCATGATCCATTTGGTGCTTGTATCTTTTCAATGAATATGGCAGCTCTTTCAATACGCTTTTCTATCTCCTCTCTCCGATGCCTGGGGTATAATTTCTTAAATGATGTCAAAGCTTGAATAGCTGCTGAGGTACATCCCACACAAGGATAATCAATAACAATATCGCCTACAAAAGGGCCTATTTGTTGCTAAGCTATGGTAAATTGGTAATTTGGCGCCCGAGAGGTTGTGTTGGTCAGGGAGGCTCATCGAAGTGAGATTTCTCGGCATCAAGAACACCCTTAATGATAATAATAGTTGCGTCCTTGTGCAAAACTTCAGATGAACAACATTCGATTCTTCTCCACAGTTAAATACCAATTCTACTTGCCGATCTTGAAAGGATCGGATTTACGGTAAGTACAAGAAGCCAAATTTTCGATCCACCACTGGGCGAGTCGAGCCGTCGTGTCGACACGGTAAACAGAGTCGTCGCTCATCCTCGCGAAGGCCAGTGCGGCTACGATTTCAGGGATGCACTCCAAAAACCCAGCATCGTCATGGTTGGAGGAGCCGTGTGTATGGTGGCATCTATGGACGTTTTAGCCACGGATGAGAGAGAGACTGTTGAAGAACAGCAGCAACCAATAATCCCTGAGTTTGTCCAGCAAGAACCACTGTAACTGCAACGATGGAAGTATTCTGAATAATCTCATCAAGAACCGTGTCACCCCACTTACAATTCACTCTTGGGAAACACTCGCGGCAATTTCAACAGCACCTCTAGCCGATTCCTCAGTACGGCTCCAAATTGCTTTGAGAACAACAAGGTCAGAGATCTCAGTTAATCTTGGGATGTATTGAGTTCTGACGAAAATACCAGCGCCAAGAATGGCGATCTGAGGTGGCTTCGTCATCTTCCCCAGATCACTGAGTAAATCGATATGATCGAATCAACAATCAGATAGATATGTATATATCTATATGGGTAGCCAATGAGAATCACTGTTTGGAATCTATGTAAAACGAAAGGAATTTATGGTTTGATGTGATTACTCCCTCCCTCCCTCTCTCTGAAATAAATCAATATACACCACCTGAGCGAATCCGGATCCTCCGTCGCCCTTTCCTGCAGCCAAACCCTGTCGCCCTCCAAAACGACATCGTTTTGAAGGAATTTTTTTTTCTCTCTCTCACTGATAACTCTCTCTCTCTCCTCATTACAATCATCGACCCAAAAAAAAAAAACGCAGCAGATTTGTTTGCCTTGAGGCTCTGTTCTGTAAATTTGGTTATAAAAAAAAACGCAGCAGATTTGTAATTTGCAGAACAAATTTACAATCATCGACCCAACTTCAAGCAAACCCTCAATTTCATTCAGAGTTCTGCAAATTTGTTTTTTATTTTTTGAAACAAACAAAGTGGGTTTGCTTGAAGTTGTTGTCAAGCCTTTGATTCAGAGTTCTTCAGCTTCCATGGCTCTTCTTCCCCCCTTTTGTTTTTTTTTTTTGGTTCAGATTTGAAATCTGATTTTTTTTTACAGATTTACTCACAGATCTGTATTGAAAATACCAGGAAAAAAAAAAGAAAGAAAAAAACGAAGGAGAGGGAGAGAAAGAAAGCTAAGAACAAAGCCTACCTAAAATTTGACTTTGCCTTGAGGCTTTCATACCCAAAATAATCATCTGTGACTTCGAGGGTTCTACAGGTATTGCTTCAGAAGTTTAAAAACAAAGAAAGAAAGAAATGATTTGATTATTGAATTGGGTTGGGTTGCTTTTGACCAGAACCTTTTTCATTTTTTGACGGTTTGATCCCTTCACTTTTTTCATTTCTTGACTTGATCAATCTAACTGTACAATTCATGAACTGAGCGAGCGAGGCGGAGATTGAGGAATAAGAGGAGTTTCGTTTTTTTTTTTTTTTTTTTGTTCAGATTTGAAATCTGATTTTTTTATTTGAGTATAGTTTTTTTTTAGATATATTGTTAGGTCCCGATGTTGTCAAATCCGGAGACAAAACCTTGTGTTGATTCAAAAGTAATTTTTTGTGTTTTTGTTCTGTCCGCTCGAGCGGAGACTTTTGAGCTCGAGCGTAGATTAGCAGGTCTCAGTAGTTTGACAGGGCAAGCACAGATACTGGTGGGTGTGATTTTACACTCGAGCGGATTATCATACGCTCGAGCGCATCTCAGCTTAATCACACGTCGTTTTTTGTCAGTCCGCTCGAGCGGGCTGTGGTGAGCTCGAGCGGAGATCGCGGATCCAGATTCCTATTTAAAGCTGTTAAGGGTGTTTTTGTGAAGCACGTTTTCCTAGATCTGATCTAAACATACTAATATTAAATGGGAGTATAAGATTCACTTTATATAAGTGAAACAACTTGCTTTTTCTTTCTTTTCCTGATGTGGGATTATAAAATAAATCATATCATAGACTAATTATAGTTTTTATTTTAAAATTTAAGCTGTTTTGAACTGAACTATGCACAACACTACAATATTAAATGGGAGTATAAGATTTACTTTATATAAGTGAAACAACTCATTTTTTCTTCTTCTCTCGATGTGGAATTATAAAATAAATTATAAACTAATTAAAATTTTTTTTCTTATATGACTAAATGAGAGCTAGCCAATGGAAAAAAATTTAATTGTTTAAAATTAAGAAAATCAGTATGAGAAATCGCGGTTAAACCAGCTAATCTCAGTCAAACTAAAAACGGTTCAACCTAATTGATTAGGTCAAATGACCAACCAACTTATACAAAAATTAATTAATTAATTAAAACTTTTAAATGATATTTTAATTTTAAAATTTAAATTGGCTTGAATTGAAGCATGCACAACATTACAATATTAAAGTTCACTTCATATAAGTAAAACAGCCCACTTTTTCCTTCTTTTCAGGATGTGAGATTATAAAATAAAAGTTTACAATTATTTGGACAGGAAATTTATTTCTAATCAAGCAATCTCAGTCGTTCAATATTTAATCAGATCATTCTTTAGTTGATTTTGAATCAAACAAATCTAATCAATATATTTTTCATAAAACTATTGAAATCGTGGTTAAACCAACGAATCAGTCAAATCAAAAATGATTTAGCCTAATTGGTTAGGTCAAAAGACCAACTAACTTATACAAAAATTATTAATTAAAACTTTAAAATTTTTATTTTAAAATTTTAATTATTTTAAATTGAAACATGCACAACATTACAATATCAAATGAGAGTATAAAATTGACTTTATATGAGTAAAGCAATTCACTTTTTCCTTCTTCTCTTGATGTGGGATTATCAAATAAATCATAGATTAATGAGTTAGCTTAATGGAGATTTTCTCAATTGTTTAAAATTAAGAAAATCAAGAAAAATTAATATGAGATATTGAAACTCTCACAATATTTCTCACTAAAAACGGTTCAACCTAATCGGTTAGATCAAATGACCAACCAACTTATATAAAAATTAATTAATTAAAACTTTTAAATGATATTTAAATTTTAAAATTTGAACTGGCTTGAATTGAAGCATGCACATCACTACAATATTAAGGTTTACTTTATATAAGTAAAACAACTTAATTTTTTCTTCTTTTTCCGATGTGGGAATTATAAAATATAAGTTAACAATTATTTAGACGGGAAATTTATTTTTAATTAAGCAATCTCAGTTATTTAATTTTTAATTAGATCAATCTTTAGTTTATTTCAAATCAAGCAAATCTAATCAACATATTTTGATAAAACTATTAAAATTGCAGTTAAACCAATAAATTAGTCAAATAAAAAATGATTCAACCTAATTGGTTAGGTCAAAAGACCAACCAACTTACACAAAAGTTAATTAATTAAAACTTTTAAATTTTATTTTAAAATTTAAATTATATTAAATTGAAACATGTACAACATTACAATATTACATCGACGTATAAGATTAACTTTATATGAGTAAAATAATTCATTTTTTTCTTCTTCTTCCGATGTGGGATTATCAAATAAATCATAGACTAATTAGCTAGCTAATGGAGTTTTTTTTAATTGTTTAAGATTAAGAAAATTAATATGAAATATTGAAACTCTCACAATGTTCTTCACTAAAAATTTCATTTCCTTTATATAATATATAGATATTTTGATTTTTATGTCTTTTTTTTTTTTTTTTTTTTTTTTAATAGCTTTTTTGATTTGTCTTGTAGACGAATCTAAAAAGTTAACCAGAAAAAACAAGGCAACAGCAAGATAAATTTTCCCCAGTTATAGTCTTTTTTTTTCTTTTTTTTTAATATATTATTAATTACGTAGTTTTTGTTGCCCAACAGACTTTCCTGTGCAACACCATAGCCGTCTCGTAGGCACCCTGAGGATCGAGGCAGTTCCCCTAGGGTAGGTGCTTTCTTTGCGAGTATGTCTGTTGATGGCGTTGTGTCCTATCTGTTCAAGGAAAGCTGTCCAACTCAATGTGTAATGCATCAGTGGCATTGGTACATAATCTGCATCTGTTGTCAGAATTGCTACTATAAGGGAGAAAGGAGTTAAAGTAAGCCAGTTGGAGATAGAGATTCGAGATCTGAGTTCACATTTCCACTTCCTCCACCGATGGTCGGATCATGTAGTTGTTCTGAGGGTTTGCTTCAAGCGCTTGAGCCGAGCTATGGAGCATACCATTCTGTAGATGCGTGATGAGCTCAAAGCTCTTTCTTGCCCCGACTTCTAAGTTTGGCCCCGTCTCCCTTTGCAAAATAGGGACTAAAAGGTGTGCATACCATTCTGAAGCTTCTTTGGTTTGCAAAGCAGATTTGGGCTGGGGCTTTTTGCTTGTTCAACTGATGCGTCTAATGCTCGCAATACCAGAATTGTCCCTATTTCAATGGGCAGAAGTCTGCAATTGCCCTTGTTGTTCCTGTTTATTACAACTCACATCTATGGCGGTGTAGTCGTTTGTTGTTGAATTGGAAAGATGGTGAGCTGTCTTCAGAGTGTATTCCCTCTATCTCGATCCTGCCGATCACCCAACCAACTAGAGAACACCATCTATCCCTTAATTTGCTTTTCCAAGAATTCTCCATATGCTACAAACGGAAGCGGTGGTTCGGTGCTGGTAGCTTCCACACTACGTAGGAGGGCTCCCATCTCTATATCTATCTATAACCGTACATAAAAAAAGCAAAAGCTCATTGTTTTGTTCAGTTTCCATTTCACCATCATGTAAACAAAACCAGACAACGCAATACGTAAGTTCCCTTTCGAGCCATGTACTGTGTGTGTTTTGTACCTCTCTCTGTTCGATTGTGAATTTTAACTTCGTTCACTTTTGTATTTTTATGTTGGTCACATCTGTGCTGCGAAACCAGACAATTTGGTATGTAAAATTCTGCTCTTACAGTCTCACAATTCTTAATCTTCTACGTAAGTGTTTATATCTCATTCATTCGTGTTTGTTAGTATGTAATGTAGCCCAATTACGCGTACCATTTGTTTGATAATATGCTTGACTAATAAAATTTATATAAAACAGCAACAGGGTTTTCCCATTTGTTTCCCTTGACTAGAATATCTCTAATGATGAAGATGAACGCTATGAAACCCAATATGGTAGCTACTGACATTGAAATCCAATCAAAATATTGAAAATAGGGTTTCATAAGATTGGTGGTCTATGTTTTATGTGAGCTCTCTTTCTACTAGCTTGTGATTTGTCTCTCTTCCAATGGTAAAAGGATGTGATTTTCAGATTATCTTACTTTGTACAATCTGTCTAAATCATAAAGAAACCAAAATCACATTTAAAAAAAAAAATAAAAATAAAAAAATCAATGTAATCAAGTTCCATAAAATCCAAAATCCACTTATAATATAAAATAGAATACCCTAAGGAAACAAGTTGATCCATAATTGATTAGACACATGAAACCGGAAGATTGGACTATTTACCAACCTTGCTTTCAATATATATATATAACCAGACAATTTGGTATGTAAAATTCTGCTCTTACAGTCTCACAATTCTTAATCTTCTACGGAAGTGTTTATATCTCATTTATTCGTGTTTGTTAGTATGTAATGTAGCCCAATTACGCGTACCATTTGTTTGATAATATGCTTGACTAATAAAATTATATAAAACAGCAACAGGGTTTTCCCATTTGTTTCCCTCGACTAGAATATCTCTAATGATGAAGATGAACGCTATGAAACCCAATATGGTAGCTACTGACATTGAAATCCAATCAAAATATTGAAAATAGGGTTTCATAAGATTGGTGGTCTATGTTTTCTGTGAGCTCTGTTTCTACTAGCTTGTGATTTGTCTCTCTTCCAATGGTAAAAGGATGTGATTTTCAGATTATCTTACTTTGTACAATCTGTCTAAATCATAAAGAAACCAAAATCACATTTAAAAAAAAAAATAAAAATAAAAAAATCAATGTAATCAAGTTCCATAAAATCCAAAATCCACTTATAATATAAAATAGAATACCCTAAGGAAACAAGTTGATCCATAATTGATTAGACACATGAAACCGGAAGATTGGACTATTTACCAACCTTGCTTTCAAAATATATATATATATATATATCAACTTTGTTGTTTGTATATCTATGGTTCATGTGACATCAAGATTCCTCAAAACAGGACTGTAAATGAGTTGAGTAGTTAGTAAGTTCGTAAAGTATGCTTTGAAAACTTGACGACTTTTAAAAAATATTTAAATTTAATTTATTACATACTAATTCAATCTTAAACAAATTTTTAACGAGTAAAATTCAAGTCGTTTGGTTCATTTTATAAATCCCAAATGAAAATGGCGAAAGCTGGCCCCAACATACGAATTTACCACTAGTTTAATTATGGAAATAAAATTAATGATTGGTGAAATTAAAGTATGAAAATCAAATCATATCGATAATCAGATCATATCATATTTATCCGAATCTAATCCGGCAATAATTGAATCCATCGAATTAAATTTTAACGGATTATCAGATCAGATATTCATTAACAGATTCAAATCAAAAGCCAATCGATTGACCAATCTAGCTTCAGTTATGCATGTCTTCAACATTGGCCTAATATATTTCATTGTCAATATTCATCCTTTGTGCAAACCAATGTTGATATTTACAGCTCCAACTTGAATAACTCTAATGGTAACATTAGTGTTTGCACAAAAAACCAAAAAAAAAAAAACACATTTATCTACAAATATATGATACATCATGAGGTCTCCCTATCAAGTCAACAAGGATTTTAAGGTTGGAATAGAAAAAATCGAGTCCATGAATTGAAATTTTGAATAGAAGATCTTTTATATTCCCGGATACAAACTTGAATGTCGATAATCGTATACTGAAACTTGGTTGATCCAACCTGGCAAACTTCAATGAATAATGAGGTTAAGAATTGAAGATGGTTAGACCATTTCCACGTGGCCACCACCAAGAGCTCTGTTTCACTTTTGCTCATACCTGTCCAAGAAATCCCATAAATACAATATGTAAATAACAGTCTAAAGCAGGCTCAGAAGATCAAAGCTATATTTCTTCAACAAAAACAAATGCAAAGATGCTGGATTATCTCATCGGTGTTTTGACTTCGTATAGTTCTCTTGTTGATCGTACACTAGAATTATGCACTTCTTTAACCCACAACAAAATGCCTTAAGGATGACAGTTGATATCATTTTCACCTTTCAGATTGATTTAAAATTTTGAAATGGCACTAAATTGTATAGTTTATTGGCCCTTGAAACACCATAAATGCTGGGTTATGGATTCACTTTAGAGGACCCTTGACAAAGCAGAGAGCACATCAGAAGATTTTGACAAGATTATTTTAGGGCTGAACTGACATGAAACCATGCACACCTGTCAAAAACATGAGAAGATATTTGTCTCCAGCAAGAGAAAATTTAACCTTCTCGAGTGACCATAAGTTTCAATTCTCTTTAATTATTTTCAGTCAGGTTTCGAAAATCAAATGTGAAATTACATACCTTTTAGTTCCTAGACTGAATTTACCAATACTCTGGCAGAGGTATCCCAGCCATCTTTAAACCTTTTTTGATATCTGTCACTACAAAGGAAAGTTAAGCTCTGCTTGCCTGATAAGCAGGCCTATAAGACTACAAATTACAATCATCACTAACAACAGTTTTTTTAATCAGCAACAAAAGATATTTTATTACAAAATAAGAGAAGAACATGAGAAATGGGAGAACAAGAAGTCCTCCAAAAAAATAAAATAAAAAGACAAAAACAAAGGACTACCAAAATCTCACATTGCCAATCACAAATTGCCCCCATATCTCTACAGGAAATAATAACAACAACAACAACAACAACAACAACAACAACAACAACAACAATAATAATAATAAAAACAAAAGCGGAATTCGATTAAAGGGAGTGGAGGCTGAAACCCAAAAAGATGCCAAGTAACAAACTTTATTTATCCCATAAAGAGCCCACCTCTTCATACAAATCCTCAAAGATCCTAGCATTACACTCCAACCAAATAACCCAAAAAATTGCATAAAAAACACATTACCACTAGAAGAATGCTATATCAGTAACAACATTTTGATTATAATGGATTTGAGACGAATTAATTTGATCTGAGAATGTTAATTTTCATGCCACAGCACCATCAGTTCACCCTATGCTATTCTTCATCATCATCTTCTTCTACTTCTTCATCTGTAAAACACACACAACACCAAAAATTCCAACAGATTAAGGCATTGTTTCATGACCATCAACAACCCAAATCTTTCCAGATGAAATAGGTTCTATTATTTTACTGATTCATAGAAAAGTAATCAATTCTTTTCATTGTTTGCATTGTTCTTTGTATGAGTTTTTGATACCCTGTTATACTTAAATATTTGTTAATTGATGAAATTAGCTCTAGGTTGTAATGTAAAAAGTGGGTTTTGGGTTATGGACTCTCTGTTATGGGTTTACATTTTTGGTTTGATTTAATGTATATTTGTTCATAGTGATTAGATTTTGATAATTTGCAAGTCGTGATAAAATAAACAAAGACATCAACACTCCATTGTAATTTAGATGTTTGTGTATGATTGTCAAACACACTGTTCAGTTATTCACTGAATTTTTTTTCCCGTTAAGAATGATGGATATAATTATGTTGGATAAAACAAAATCGAATAATATTGGCAACACAAGCAATGCTTCTTGATGATAATACTAAAGTTGTGAACTTGAGGGGAATCTAATCTAATTTAAATGTTTATGTGTCTGGTGTTGATATAGATGATGGGTCCTAAGTGATGATATAGATGCTGGGTCCAAGCTTGTTAGGAGAATTGCAAAAATGGCACCTGGGATTGGTGGCTTTGGAGGACTTTTCCCTCTTGGTATGTCTTTTTTCATTCTTTTCTTTTTCTGTTCTTTTGTGTTTTCAACTCTTAGATGTAGGATGCATGAAATTTGGGGTGTTGATTCAATTCAGTAGTTCTACTCATGGATTTGACAAGGAAAAAGGGAAGAAATTGTAAAGAAAATCATTATTACTTTGGTTACCATGAAAACCATGAAGAAAAATAACCATCAGGGAATTTTTTAATTCTGAATAACTCTCTTTTTCAATTTTTTATTACTTCATAAAAAAATTTGTAATCTATTTTAGTCCTTTTCACAATTTATTTATTTATTTATTTTTTTTTTTTTTACCTTAGAAATTGCAAAGACAACGTTAGGTAAAAATTGTAATTAACAAATATTTGTCAGCCATGCATTCAATTTGACATAAAGTTGGGTGTTTATTATCTATATACTGAATTAGTCATATAGACATAAAGTGGGATGAGTTTGTGTTGAATTTGATTGAAGGATCCAAACTAGAGTAAGAGATTAAACACTAACCTACACGTGCCAGAAGATAAATAAATTGTAATGGCTACATAGTTATGCTGATTTTTGCTCAATAATATAATTCTTTAACCATCTCTTTACTTTATCTCCTAGAATGCCAATGTTAGGCTGATGATAAATCTACGACTTGGGTTATTGAATAGCTCCAATGTATCCACTTTCATGAAAGCTGTGACATAGCTGTAAGAGAGGCTTTCTTTACCTTTCATTATCTAAGTTGAAAGCCTTGATTTGGTCTCTGTTAGTCAATTAGGGAAAAAGAAAAGAAAAAGAAAATTTGATTCCTTTGTATATTCAAGTGAATTCTTGATTTGGTCTCTGTTAGTCAATTAGGGAAAAAGAAAAGAAAAAGAAAATTTGATTCCATTGTATTTTCAAATGGATCGATTGAATTGTTGATTTTTATTTATTTTTTATTATTGGTAAAAACATTCTTTAATTGAAGATGAGATGGTATCTTTCCATGTATTTCACCAAAAAATCATTGAGAAACTAAAGGTTTGGTAAATGCTATCAATGTTATGATAGTAATCTATTCCGTGCTGTCTTGACATAACTTTTTACTATTATATGCATGAATCAAATAAGCATGACACGCAATCAGTGTGATAAGTTTTGGAGTTACAAATGGTTTGAAATCAATTCCTTTTCAATATTTGCTTCTACACTTTTGCAAATTTTTTGTTTGTAGATGTCAAGGTATTTGCAAGGTAGTTGTGTATCATGCTTCGTGTCATGCTCCATTTGTTTCTGAATTGTCTTCTACACTTTTTATGAGCTGGGACAACCAATGAAAGATTTCCCAATACAATAATTCCAAGATTACATTTTCTCATGATTTGCATCTTTCTGTTCTCAACATGTATAACATAGCAGATCCTTTGGGTGTTTCATTCTAGATAGTTTTGCATTAAGTCTATTGATTGATCATTCAGATTACCCCTAATTGTGTATGTGTGTAACTTGGTAATCATATGAACTAGGAAGTAAGGCAATGTTGTTCATGCTTGCCTTTTTTGAGTGATTCCTCTTTCTTTAATTACCTTTTTTTTTTAATCTCTTTTTCTTCTTCTTTTTTCCTCCATTCAATTAAGAGTTGTTTGCCTACTAATCTTTGTCCTCTTTGTGTGGATATGTTTGTGTATACAAATTGCAGCAGAAAATGAATGGCCAAAGATATGGGCAGAAGGTGATGCAACTTTTTTAATCGAAACAATTCTACATAATACACAAAGAGATTATTACAGCATCGTATGGAAACTCATAGGCAACATTCAAAGAAGAAGACATAATTTTGAAGATTGTAAAATCACCTTCATTCTTTGAGAAGGTAACTCTGCAGCAAATGTATTATGCAACCACATCAAAGAAAAGTATGGGAACTTCAAATACGATGACAAGACTTTACCACGCAAAATTAAAAATATTATACATCAAGAAAGGCAAGGATGTATCTATACACATTGTATATAATCACACTAATATAGGGTACTTCTTCTTCTTCTTATCTTTTGTAAACAAACGCCCGTTGTACATATCTACTATAATGTATAATGTTATGAAAACAAGCTGCTGTATGGAGTGATATAATGAACATATTTTTCTTGGTTAAATTTATGTTATAAGATGTATACATATAACAATGTTATAAGGAATACAATTTCTTATTATCAATAAAAGTGTTATAACTATACAATTTGTAACGCCCCAAAAATTTCGGCATGATATATCTATTTATGCAACAAAACCCACATGATGGACAAACATATATGTATAGCTAACTATTCCACACATCCATTTCCATTGAATCCCAAACGCCAAATACATGCTATTTACATCTCAATGCCCCAGTTCCAATCCCAAGCATGCATTTTACAACAAGTAAGAAATGAAAGCCAAACAGATAACAAGTGTCCTACAGGCTTACAAATTTATCCAAGAACATTCTTGGTTACACAAAATGGAGTTTCAACTCAATACAAATACAGCCCTGGGCTTACATTCAACAAATAATAATAAAACAAATTGAAGCCTCAGCTCCGAGTCCTCCCAAGTCAATGCCTTGGCGGAGGCATAACACCTATACCTGAAAATGATTTCCCTTCTAGGGTGAGCCATAACCCAGTAGAGATATACTACACAATATATGAACAATGACAAAACTAAAGAGGAGTGTGCTCATGCCATGCTCATGATAAAACAGGTTATCTCTCTTTTTATAAAGCATGCAATGCTGAGATGCACAACCAAATTTAAAACCATTTTCATTTTTAAACCATATCTGTTACATGAATACGGGCCTTGTGAATCTCTAGGCGAGTGTCTGCAAGTAGGCTATAATGTACTACCACTGTCATTTTTACCAGTAAACTGGAAGGTTCGACACGTAACCACGCGGTTCCACACCCCCTACCCAGATTCACCAAGTATTCATCGTTTCGCAAATAGATACATTTCCAAACATTTCTCAAAAACAGATACATTTTCCAATGAAATGAATGTAATGCAATGTCCAATGCAACAAATGAGAAATATGGTTCAATTTACCTAAGTCTCATGCATTTCTACAACAATCATAGCTATTCTCCACCAATAGCTCGAAACAGATATTTCTAAACATGAACAACTACACTAGTTTTCATATCACAATCACGTCCGGTAACCTCTCAAGGTTCATTTCTAACCGTGTCTGTTTTATACCAACAGATACATTAAGAAAAATAATATCGTTAATGCCCAAAAAAATATCATTTTCTTTCTAAACTCATTCTCCAAACATTATTTAACTATGACATCCTATTTTGATCAAAAGCCCCGAAAATTAAATGCAATTCTTTTGTTTTCTTTAAAAATGTTCTTTTAGTCACAAACCGATAAAAATTTCAAAACCAATCGAATTGAAGTCCGTTTTTGTTCAAATTTAAAACATAGCTCTTTCATAACCTTACAAACATATTCCAAATTTACACTTTCGCAATTTAGGCATTAACTCTTTATTTTTCTCAAAATTTCCTTTTTTAAGCAAATAAATCACGAATTTTTCAAAAATTCTAATTAAATTATATGCAACTCTAAACTCCATATAATCAAATAAAAGTACATAAAGAAGTGTAGGAAAAATCCCTACCTTAAGCTAGAAGAGAATGGAAGAACACCCAAAGCTCGGTAGTACGAAAATGCGATGTACTATGATCAAAACATTGTCCTTAGCGTGCTCTAGCTTTTGGCCTCAAGAACTAGGGGTGAATTTGTACTAAAACTAGATGATAACAAGGTTGGAAAGGCTTGGATGCTCTCAAATTGTTATGGTCGTTCTTCCAGCAGCGACCAACCCCTCTTTCCCAAACCATGCGTCCTAGGTGAAACAAACTCCCCAAGAGCCATACCATGATCCATTTGGTGCTTGTATCTTTTCAATGAATATGGCAGCTCTTTCAATACACTTTTCTATCTCCTCTCTCCGATGCCCGGGGTATAATTTCTTAAATGATGTCAAAGCTTGAATAGCTGTTGAGGTACATCCCACACAAGGATAATCAATAACAATATCGCCTACAAAAGCGCCTATTTGTTGCTAAGCTATGGTAAATTGGTAATTTGGAGCCCGACAGGTTGTGTTGGTCAGGGAGGCTCATCGAAGTGAGATTTCTCAGCATCACGAACACCCTTAATGATAATAATAGCTGCGTCCTTGTGCAAAACTTCAGATGAACAACATTGGATTCTTCTCCACGTTAAATACCAATTCTACTTGCCGATCTTGAACAACATTGGCAACTGCAACGATGGAAGTATTCTGAATAATCTCATCAAGAACCGTGTCACCCCACTTACATTTCACTTCTGGGAAACACTTGCGGCAATTTCAACAGCACCTCTAGCCGATTCCTCAATACCGCTCCAAATTGCTTTGAGAACAACAAGGTCAGAGATCTCAGTTAATCTTGGGATGTATTGAGTTCTGACGAAAATACCAGCGCGAAGAATGGCGATCTGAGGTGGCTTCGTCATCTTCCCCAGATCACTGAGTAAATCGATATGATCAAATCAACAATGAGATAGATATGTATATATGTATATGGGTAGGGAATGAGAATCACTGTTTGGAATCTATGTAAAACGAAAGGAATTTATGGTTTGATGTGATTACTCCCTTCCTCTCTCTCTCTTAAATAAATCAATATACACCACTTGAGCACCCCACCCCACGTCCCCTTTTTTTTTATTAGCTGTGCGCTTCCCTTTTTGTAACAAGAAGCATCTCCCTCATATTATAAAAATAGTTGACAGCCCCATACACTAGTGCCTTCGTTATTAACCACCAAAGATATATATATATATATATATTTATTTTATTTTTTTATTCTAGGTCATCACACAATTTCTTTTCAAAATACGGATAAGAAAAGTTTGAACGAATATTTGAATGTAGATTTTGAAATTTTACTTGACAAGTTATTCAGAGAAATTACATAGATGAATTATTTTTCTATTAGTAAATAAATATAGTGCTCTTCTCTATAGTTTTGTCAACTTGGTTATCAATTTTTTTTTTTTAATTTTTTTTTATTGCAAATGTGAAGACATATTTACATCTAATATGACATATAACTATGTTCATATTCCTATTAATTTGAAAAGAAATTTGCAAAGAGAAAAACAGAAGATAGAGCTAAAAATATAATTATATTTCACTTCTTAAATTCATAAACCAAACATAATTTTAAAAATATTTATATTGAAATTGTAGTATGACCCCCACGCGCTTTGCGCATGGGGGGCCAACTAGTGATAAGGTAAGAGATCATAAGCGCTGTTCATTTGGTTAATTACCAACTTTGAGTTACCTCGAACTTCCAGTTGATGTACTTTGATGTCACGAGCTAGTTCCATTCCCATATTAAAAAAATATATATATCCTAAAGACAAAAGCATTTACAAAAAATTAACTGTTTTTGATTTTTTTAAAATCCTTTTTGACATTTTTTTTATTCAATATTTTCAAAAATTTTGATCTTTTCTAATTTCTCTAGTTGAGTAGAATAACTTTTAAATTTTCCAGAAAAAAAAAATCATTAAAGGTGAAATAAAGTCAACAAAAAGTTATCAAAAAAAAGCCAACCACAAGCACCTATAAACTGGTTAAAACTCAATAGATACAAATAGATAGAGAATAAAAAATAAAAAATAAAAACTTTGTCAAGGATTAATCATTAAGAAATTAAATAAAAAGTAGTGCATGTTGAGAAACATATTTTTATATTACTGATGTTGTGTACTTCTCCTAATTCATTAAAAGTTTTGACACAAGCAAAGATTACTACAACGTGAAGAAAAACAATAGTTGAGCTTATATGTGAATTTGACTGTTGCACAATAGCTCTCTGTTTTGATAAGGTTTTTGTTGGTGATACCAGTACCACATGTATGTCATTGTTGGAGCATTTTGCTCAATTCTCACAACTAAAACTAAAGCCCATGGCCTCAATTGGCAAATAAGAATAAGATTTAAAGCCAAAAATCATAGAATTCACCAATAAAAGGAGAATACATATATATGCAAAACACAGTCTATAACACATTCTAGACAAACAATTTATATAAGGAAATACTTACTTCAGAATATTTTACAAAAGGGACAAAATCATCAAACCCCATCAACATATATGCCAAAACTATAGAATTATTCAAACTTATTTCTTTCACTACATGAAATTACATTTTTGGCGATCAAATTTGGTGACTACAAAAAATTTTAGTTGCCAAAAGTTGTAGAATTGGCGACCAAAAATTATATTGATTATTTTTTTAGTCGCTAAAAATGCCACTATTGGCGACAAATATTTTTTTTAGTCACTGTAAAGTTAGTTTTGGCTACTAACATTATTTAGTCACCGAATGGAAAACAAAAAATTACTTTTTATTTTTTGATCGCCAAAAATTTATTTTCAGCGACTAAAACATATTTTAGTCGCTGTAGAGTTAGTTTTGACTACTAAAATTATTTAGTCGCCAAATGAAAAACAAAAAATTACTTTTGGTCGCCAAAAATTTATTTTCAGCAACTAAAACATATTTTGGTCGCTATAGATTTGGCTACTAATATTATTTAGTCAGCAAATGAAAAAAAAAAAAACATATTTTGGTCGCTATAGATTTGGCTACTAAAATTATTTAGTCAGCAAATGAAAAAAAATTAGTTTTTATCTTTTGGCGACGAAAAGTTTGGTCGTCAAAAAATTATAATTACAAGTTTTGGGGGGAGAATTTCAAATTTTGGAGGGATTCTAAATTAATTGGTGACGAAAGTATTTAGTCGGAAAAAAATACACATCCATTTCTTATTAGCGACTGAAACAGTTAGTTGGGAAAATATGGGCTGCTAGGGTTTCAAAATCAATCACCTTTATAGCACAATCTTTACCTCTACTTCCCTCTCACGCCTTTCTGTCTCTCTCATAGTGACTCTCTCTCTCTCTCTCTCATGCGTCTGCCCTCCTCCTTCCACGCTATCTCTCTCGCTTTGTCTCCATAGCTATCCGCTATAGGAGCATCACCGCCATCGCACCAACGTCAATCCACCATTGGAGCATTACCCCAGGTATGTCTCTCTCTCTCTCTCTCTCTCTCTCTCTCTCTCGCTCTCGCCGCTCTCTCTGTTTTCTTCCAGTCGCATACCTTTACTCAAACCCGGCCCCAAATTGACCCATCTACCGCCATTAAGTTTAATCCAAATTCCTCCTCCACCATGAACAACCACCATCAGCCCCATTTTTCCTTTTATCCATGCTCTTCTCTCTCTCTCTCTATATATATATATATATATACACATCTATAATTGTTATATGAATTTGGCTATGGCGAGAGTATGTGGATGACCTATTCGATGAAATTCCAAAATGGGTTTTGAATTAGAGAAATCATGATAGTCTGTTGGATGACCTGGGTTTGGACTGGTTTATAAACTAGTCCATAGAGGACTAGTTTATCAGCATCCTTTGTTGTTGGAGGTACTGATTTGGCCTTCTCAGCGAATTCTTCAAACTCGTCCTGTCAATTGCCATATATATATATATATATAGTATATAAAAATTCGTGAAAAATGCAATGTTAGGGTTAATATCTTTCCAGATACAAGAGGAACAAAGCAGAAAATTTTGTCACAATATAGGGATTGCACACACTGAAGATTGCCAGAACATTTGATGGTATGAATTTATTGCTTTATAGTTCTGTTTAGCTTGGAGTGGACAAGTTAGGTGGCTATAAATTATTCTCATATTGATGGTTATTTTTTGGGTTTCCTTTGAGCTTCTGTTATTTGTTAGAAAAAGAGTAAGAGACATGGCTGCTGAGTTTTGCTTTGAATTTGACTTATTGTGCATGTGTTTTATTGTTGACGATGTATCAGAAGCCTGAAATGTATAAGACAACCTATGCAATACCCATTTATGGTAGCAGAATTTGTCAACCAGATTATCTCCAATGCTAATAAGAGTCACTTAATTTGGATAACGAGGAATTGTTTAGTCTGATCTGAATTATATAATCAGGTTCACTAACATCATAGTTTGTAAAAATCTTGTTCTTTGTTATAGGTGTTCATGGGCATTCTTCAAGTTTCAAGAAGTTGAGCAAAAGCACTTCAAAAAACAAATGTAAGGTCTATAATTAATTTTTACAAATTTAATAATATTTCTTCAAACATTATTTTTCCTTTTAACTGCTGAAACTTTGACTTTGTAGTAAATTACTGTGATGTTGAAAAATAGCACAAAAGCACCATATGATATGAATGTCATAAATTCCTAATTGTAGTCATTGCCTTAGCCATTAATTAAGGAGAATGAATGTGAAAAGTTAGCTTGATTGCTATCTGATGTATAGCATTTGAATGTCAATAAAATCACATGTTGCAATTAGAAGAATGTGGATACGACTCAATATTCTATATCGAATTTTTGATTTCTGAAAGTGTGGTCAGATACTGAAGTGGTGGTCAGATACTTCCTCATTGCTATAATTTGGACCTGCTCAAAAAAAAAGTTTAGTGATTAATTTTCTGCTTTATGCTTATCTTCATGCATTTGGTGTACTGTAGTGTCTTGGATCTAAAATGCAGCCCTGTGGAACCAATTTTTGTTTCTGCAGCAGCATCCAGAGGGTACATTCTTCGTAGACTCAATATTCTATATCGAATTTTTGATTTCTGTGAGTGGGAATGACAATTCTTTTCATGGTTCTTAGTGTACATAAAAAGCATCATTTGTGTGTGTGCAAGGAGACTAAGGCTGAAGAGGATATGGATTGAATTCTTAACAATGCACTTCTAGTCCCATTTTGCAACTTCAAGTAATGGATTTTGAAGAACTGAGTGGCAGATGTGAACACATAATAGATGCTATTAGAAAATTCTATTTTCCCTACTGTTCTTGTTGTATGAAAACATGCCTTCTGCATCAACAATCTCTATCATAAATATTACTCATTAAAAAAAAAAAATTGTGGTTTTGACTAATAATAAGGCTCTCTTTTTCTCTTCCTTCATTATTAGCCCTGCCCTTTGCCCCTCTAGTTTGTAGTTGCCTTCTTTCTTGAGCCATTACCACTTAAAGCTTATGTCCCTTGGAACCTGAGGAAGTTTATTTAGCTTTCTTTGATTGCTTTAACTAAAATATTAAATTAAGTTTTATTTAGGCATTTATGTTTGAGGTCATTTCAAGGCTTGAGTTGGAGAATGAATCTCTTTGCTAAGTTGAGTGCTTCTACAGGACATTATATATATTGACTGATCATAATTGTTGCCTTATGTCATTCTGATATGCCTAAGTACTGATGGATTTTGCATGATTAAAAAGTGCAATGAACATGTTTGCATATTTATTTGAATTAATGCAGGAGATTCTTTGATTGACACTGTATGGGTAAATGTTGCATATTGGCAATGACATATTAAACAGCTTTGTAGCTAACTTCCATCAATTTTGCCTCTGAATGCTATGACCCGGGATCGCTATATTGCATGATTAAAAAGTGCAATGAACATGTTTGCATATTTATTTGAATTAATGCAGGAGATTCTTTGATTGACACTGTATGGGTAAATGTTGCATATTGGCAATGACATATTAAACAGCTTTGTAGCTAACTTCCATCAATTTTGCCTCTGAATGCTATGTGCTTCTCATAATTTTGTGAAACTATACTTGTGAAAGAAGGCATTTTTTTATTTATAATTTTAAATGTGCCAGTATGTAGTCAATACTAATGATTTGCATTATTTTCACATATGGTTTTTGATGTGGAATTGTGGATACGACTTTTATTTGACAAGTACGGAAGACATTGTGTTTATACCTCCGTCCTTATAATTGTTCGTACAAATTACTTTTTTGGCCTGGTACATATCTAAAATTTGGCGTGGTACAACTTAGTTTTTGGTGCAGTACAGATTACTGTTTTGTCATGGTATAGATTACCTTTTGGATATTAAATTTACTTTAAAAAAATGTTATGTATGGAGTACAGTACAGGTTATTGTTTTTGCATGGTATATATTACCTTTTGGATATTAAATTTGCTTAATCCTATGTTATCTATGGAATTATATTTTTGATGTTGGATTATACTTGGTCGATATGGAATTTCTATTACATTTATAATTTGCTGTTAAATATGAATTTTTTGGATGGTTGGAAGTTAATGAATGTGTGTACGTCGTCGAATGGTTGTTAATATAATCAATATTTAAGGATTATTTTGTTTATATATACAGGGTACAGGTTGCACTAATAATAAAATAAATGCAGGTGGTTGAGAAATTAATTTTTTTTTTTAATTTATAAAGTTTTTGCTTTTGGATATTAAATTTACTTTAAAAAAATGTTATGTATGGAGTGCAGTACAGGTTATTGTTTTTGCATGGTATATATTACCTTTTGGATATTAAATTTGCTTAATCCTATGTTATCTATGGAATTATATTTTTGAGGTTGGATTATACTTGGTCGATATGGAATTTCTATTACATTTATAATTTGCTGTTAAATATGAATTTTTTGGATGGTTGGAAGTTAATGAATGTGTGTACGTCATCGAATGGTTGTTAATATAATCAATATTTAAGGATTATTTTGTTTATATATACAGGGTACATGTTGCACTAATAATAAAATAAATGCAGGTGGTTGAGAAATTAAATTTTTTTTTTTAATTTATAAAGTTTTTGGTGACTAAATATGTTGGTAGCCAAAACAAATCAGAATGAGGAATAAACTATTACTGACTAAATATTTTGGTAGCAAAAAACGCAGCATCCTTTGGTGACCAAACAATTTGGTCGCGAAAGAATGAAATGAAAAAGATCCACCCTTTTGGCGACTAAAATGTTTAGTCGTGAAAACTAACAACGACCAAACAATTTGGTCGCGAAAGAATGAAATGAAAACTTCTACCCTTTTGGCGACTAAAATGTGTAGTCTCCAATAACTGAATAGCACTTTTGGCGACTAATACTTTTAGTTGCCAAAATGTTTCATTTGCCGACTAATAAAAGTTTGGTAGAGTTTAGTATAGTATTAGCGACCAAGCAAAGTTTATTATATGCGACAAAATTTCGATTGGCGACTAAAACTTTAGTCTCTAATAGTTGACTTCAGTTTTATGTGAGAACTCTCGGCGACTAATATTTTAGTCGCCAAAAGATAACCTTTCTTGACTAACCAAAGTTTAGTAGCCAAATGTTCACTTTCGGCAACTAATCTTTTAGTCGCCAAAAGATAACTTTTTCCGACCAACCAAATTTTAGTCGCCAAACGTTTACATTCAGCAACCAAAAATAGTTTACTCACCAATACTATCGCTGACAGGGTATAGGTGACGACCTTGGAGACAAAAAAAAATTAGTTGCTAATTAGTTTTGGCGACCAAACATGGGGCTTTTGGTGACCAATGTTTTAGTCACCAAAAGTGTCATTTCCTATAGTGAAAGTTTTTGGTCAAATCTTACTCAACCATCATGTTACCACTTCGATCAATGTCCCAAAATAAAACAAGGAGGCTCCAAATACAATAATAAAAATGTTAAGAGCAACCCCACTAGTCCCAAAAATTCAGACTCAACCAGGCAGACCACTCGAGCATCCAATCTTGCGCTCGAGCAAACAAACTAACCAAGCCGACCACTCGAGCGACCACTCCTGCGCTCTAGCGGAAATTCACAACTCTCAAAATCTCGGATAGACTGAAAAAGGATTGGGAGTCTCACAAGACCGCTCGATCTTCAACTCTTGTGCTAGAGCGGAGCGAAAAATTCTGGGTGTTACAGATATTTCCCACAGATTTCGAAGACGACAAAGTTGTGGAGGAATATCACCATAGAAATTAATTGATTGAAGATTGAGAAATGACAAATGAGTTAGGTTATATCCGATCCAAGGAGAGATAATATCAGTGAATGCATTTCCACCTAGATCAAGTGGGTAAAGAAATGTCAAATCCTGTAAGGATAAAGGAAACATCCCATGAAATCTATTCTTATGTAAGTGTAAGGATATGAGAAATCTTAGGGAACCTAAAGAACTTGGAATATGACCACATAGGTTGTTATTCAACAAATGTAGCACTGCCAAGTTATCCAGGTGTCCTAAGCATCGAGGAATTGTTCCTGATAATTGATTTTTTGAGAAATCAATAATTGTTATGTCCGTTGCCTTGCATAAAGATGTTGGAATGCCACCAATGAAATGGTTATTTGAGAGAGTAAGAATTTGAAATCCCAGTTTTTTTATTTTCATCACTCATACGAATAGGTCCTGAAATCAAGTTGTGCGAAAGATCTAATATCATAGTATCTGAAGGAAGGGATGTTAATGGCCCGTTAAATTTGTTAGAACTCAATATCAACTCCCTATGATTCTCTGTATAATCACAGTATTTACATTCTTGAACTATTAGCACCTTTCCACTAATCTAATTGTTGGATAAATCCAAGTGTCAAATACCAAAAAAAATATTATGAAACCAATCTAAAATGGTATTTGAGATGCTTGCATTAGACATGACTAAATCTCTAACATTTTTTTGTGTCTTAAGCCACAAAGGAAATTGGGGTCCCACTTTGATGGATGTCATTAGTATGGATGGGAGTTGAAAAGGAGGAACCCATTGGGAGCTTACATTCATTAGTATGGATGGGAGTTGAAAAGGAGGAACCCATTGGGAGCTTACATTCAGAACTAATAATGTGTTTGGAGACAAGTATAACTCATTTAACCTCTTGAGTTTGGCAAAATGAAGTTCAAATACCATGCCAACAAAAGAATTTTTTGATAAATCTAGCTTTTCTAGTTTTGAAAGTTGTCCAAGACTATTTGGAATGCTTCCATTCAATTGATTATTCTTAGTATTTAACACTCTCAAATATGGCAGTCTTCCAATTGATAATGGCAGTAAACCATAAAATGAATTCTCAGAAATATCAAGGTACTCAAGATTCTTGAACTCTCCCAAGTGGTTTGGCAAATGACCACCAAACATGTTTATTTTAAGTTCTAACACCTTTAAATTACTATGGATGCAACCAAACGGACTAACTAAAGTCGAAAGGTTCCCACTAAGCTTGTCATGGGATAAATCAAGTATGCACAAGCTGCAGAGGCTTTGCATGGAGTTTAGTATTTCACCTTTGAACTTGTTATTGGACAAATCAAGTATGCGCAAGTTGCAAAGGTTCCACCACATAGAGTTTGGTATTTCACCTTTGAACCTGTTTCTAGTAAAGTGAAGCTCTGTAAGTTGTGTCATATTACCAACCTCACTTGGAATTGGACCATTAAGACTATTAAAACCAAGATCCAAATGGACAAGACCGGTAAGGTTGCAAAAAGAATATAACATTGAATTATCGAAATTGCTGTCAGAAAGTGTAATGCCTCAAAATAAACCATAAATCTAACTAAAAACATATATGAATAACAACATGAATCAGAGTGTAATGTTCTTTGATTTCATAGAGCAAATGGTATAAAAGAGTTTAGCATGAATAACTGCCCTATAAGCTTACATCTTTCCAAGTCATAACTTGGTTATAACAAAAGTGAGACGAGCTCAATACAAATAAAGCCCTTGGCTATACAAAAGAAAATATACAACAAAATGAAGCCTTTGTGT